TAGAACGACAGCACAAGTGAAAAGAAAGTTGAGCGAATTTTAAGGTGATAGTTGCCAGCAACAATTGCAGTGGCCGAAAGAGAAAGTCATGTGATTTGTTTCCCATGTCCTCAAAAGTATTTGCGTCCACCAATTATTGTTTTGCTCTAGTGTCCAGATAGGTAATGTATAGGTTGTCACCTGGTAATAGGGCGATATACAAGTTTTTTACTTTGTAATAGGGCAATACAGGGGTTTATTTACCTGGTAATAGGGCAATATTTGAGTTATTTACCTGTAGTAGGGCATTATTTGAGTTATTTACCTGGTAACAGGGCAATATTTGAGTTATTTACCTGGTGATGTTCTAACCGATAATTGTTTGACATAATCTTCTTTCAGATGGTCCAATACCGATTGCATTTTATGTTCTACATCATGTAAATCCAGTATCTCTTCATCAGCAGAATGTTTTAAATCAATCCGACTTGAATGTTTTTTACCTTGAAATGAAACAAACTTTCAATTTTCAATATTTAATTTATTAAAATCTTTTAAAATGATGGTTATAATATTTCACCAAAAAGAATAATCAAAAGCCATTTCAACACAATTGAGAATACCCAAAGTTTTCAGTGTATGATAAATTTTATAAATATTTATAAATGTAGATTAAAATATGGGCCATCATTCTTTATTTGAATGTTCTTGATACCGCCCTCTGTTGATTACTCACATGTTACATCCAATAAAATTCATGGTTCAAATACTTGCCTACTGGTAATTTATTCGTGATGTCAAATAGATTGGTCAATTTTTTATTTAATCTTAAGGTAGAAGCCTAGTCATAAAAATACAACCATGAAATTGTTGAAAAAAAGGCTGGTGACCCCCAACTTTTTTTAGGTCAATATTCTTATATTGGCTTGGAGTACAATTTATTGCAAAATGAATAAATTCTGGGTTTTTTAATTTATGAGTAGGCTTCTACCTTGAAACACATGTACAGTGAAAGGCAAAAAACTGTACCTGTTGGTGCAAAAAAGTGTACTTTAGTTAAATGTAATAAAAATTACCCTTTTTTAGCATAAAATCTCACTTGTGATACTTTGCTACAAGGCAAAGTATACTGTAGCTGGTGAAATCGACAAGTCTGGTTTATAAGAACTCTTGGTTGTTGACTTCTTATTGATACACCTCTTATGAAATGTTGAATAATCCGAACAGACGTCATTTTGATTTTATTCTGCAATAAAATACATCTGGCAATGAAAACAATCTGTAAACATTTTTTAAATGGATGGACACATTTGAAATTGTGAAAAACATCGTACTTTAACCTTTTCACTACCAGACTTCCTTGTCCAAATTATTGTGCACTTTTTTTTTTACAATCTTCAATTTCTGGGAATGAACCCTAATTTTAGAACCAACAGACAAAATTTGAGTAAATTTTCAGCTTTTACTGAATATTTGTTCATTTTTATTTTAATCTTCTGAAGGAAATTGTAGACTATAAACGGGACTATTTTGTGAATTTGTGATGAAAACAGGGAACTGGTGGTGAAAAGGTTAAAAGTTGCATCACATTCAGGGATTTTTTTAAACAAGGGAACAGGGGCACAGCGCCCTCATGCCATGGCCATGAAAAGCAGATCCTCTGGCAACCATAAAATTCTGATTGACCAGGGATCACATGTGGCCACAGTCTTCAACTGTGATCTGTCTGATAGTAATTTTGGCCCCAAGGAAGCCATAGAATGCTCCACTTTAACTTAGAATTATCAAAAACTCCACACCCTGGTAGGGAGAACACCCTATCTCCCGCACTTGGTGGCGCCGCTGAATTGCAGTGCTCCCTTTTGCATTTTTTTTCTAGAAAAACCCCTGACATTTACATTACATTAGAACACATTACCTTGTTTGTATCAACATTAAAAATGTAATGTATTTGCTCTATTAGCAGTGCATTTTTTCATGATTAAAATTAGTAATATTCTAATGATTTAGTATACAGTCAATGTGATTTTTGGTTTATATGCACTTCTATTGCAGTTGCACTTGTAATATGGTAAACCTAGTAGAATGTCCTTGAATGCATACTCAAATACTTGAACACAAATCACATAAAATCTATGTTCGTTGGCATTTCGGGTTATCTCACAAAAAATATGACTACAAAATGTACAATAATAATATCATGAGAATACCAGAAAGTATGTATTTAGGCAGCACAGGATTACATCAGTCGATGTGCATTGGTCAATAAAAATCATATTCATGCATATTTCCAATCTTATACCACATCAATTATGAGACGATAGCTGTAAACTACTTTAACGAAAGTCGCTGA